AAAAAAGCTTGCATAAAATATAGATTTTTGAGAATCACCCTTCGATCTTTTGGTTTACTTTGCTGGATATAGCAAATGATGACAAAATAAACATTTGAAACAAGATAAATGGTCTATGCTTAATTTCATAGTGTGCGCGATTAATCACAGAAAAAGGATGCGATTAATCAGATAAAAAATTTTAATCGATTGACAGCCCTACTAAAAAGATAGTGTAACACACAGCATAGAAAACAAACACACACACACGCGCAAAACACATTCCAACGCAGGGTGAGAGGGTAAAGGTCACTGAGGAATTCCTTTTCCTCTTCCTGAGTCAACGCTGAGAAAGTGAATTCATCATTCATCGTGCATCCAAAAGTGATGTGCACGCATTCCTGTTCGTACAATATATGTGCCAGTAAAAAGAGTCAACAGCAGGAAAAGGTCTCGTTGTGGAAAAAACACTAAGCCTGAAAACCCTACAGCACTTCAATTCAATGTTATTTTAGTTTACTAATATATTATGATAGCATTTATTAATATTTTGAATCGTTTTCAGTTTAATTTAAGTTTTAGTAATTTTGTTATGAGCTTTTATCAATTTCATTAGAAATATTCACAATATTTCTATGTAGCTTTATTTTTATTTCAGTTTTAATTTTATTACTTCAACCTTTTTCAGCTTTATTTCAATCAACAAAAACTATTAGTTAAAGGGTTAGTTCACCCAAAAATTTAAATTCTGTAATTAATTTCTCACCCTCATGTCATTCCAAACCTGTAAGACCTTTGTTCATCTTCGGAACACAAATTAAGATATTTTTGATGCATTTCGAGAGCTTTCTGACCCTCCATAGACAGCAATGTAAATACCACAATCAAGGAGCAGAAACTTAGAAAGGAGATTATTAAAATAATCTATGTGACATCATTGGTTCAATCGTAATTTTACGAAGCTACGAGAATACTTTTTGTGCGCAAAGAAAACAAACAATTATTTTTAAAGATAATTGTCTGATTTGCTTACATACATCTATACATATTTCACTTTTTAAGACTAAAACAAAAGATGGATTCATTGATATTCTTAATTAAAAAGCATAACAACAATAAAACAGTAAGATAGCTTACAAAACATTTATTAACAAAAACTAATAAGACGAGGCATGCATGGCATACACCACATGCTGTCGACTAAACCTTGAATAAAACTAGATAGGATAAGGTTGACTAAATATGATAAAAACTAACATGGACATTTAACACGCGACTAAGACTAAAATTGAAAATAGCTGACAAAATTAACACTAATTCGAACAGTCTCACATACCTACGTTACCCAAAAACTGCTGACTACGTAGGCAGTTCATTAGGTTTCAGAAGTGCCACAGTTATGATCTGGTGTCACAGGTGAAATGTGTCGTACCTGAGAAGAGATCGTGCTCATCAGAGTGAACCCCGTTGGTCCTGGAGCTGCTGCTGCTGGCGGAGGGTTTCGGGGCAGGTGCAGTCAAGGCTTCCTCTGCGAACAGATCCGTGGGGTCATCTTTAACCTGTGGCTTGACCTTCACGTCTGATTTCACCTCTGTGAAAACATCGACAGGTGGTCCTGAAGGCTGAGGCTTCTTCGTCACAACTTTTGGCGGCTCCTTAAACAGATCCTCCTCATCCTCATCACCGAACAGCTCTGCGCTCGCTGCTTTCTTGACTGAAGAGCTTTTGCTGCTGCCCTTTGGAGGGTCTTCGAAAATATCCTGCTGTCGGGCGGCATTTTTGTGCACAGGTGGTTCACTGAGGAGATCGGACTTTGGCGCTTGTACAGGCTCGTTTAAGAGATCTGGCATGGGGTTTTGGACCTCAGGTGAACTAATTACTTCGCTATCATCGTCCAGCGGGTCGCTGAACAGGTCGACGGCCTCATCGCTACTAGGTGAAGGGATCTTAGTGTCTACTTTCTTCTGGGGTTCAGAGTTAACGTTGCTAAGAGGATCGCTGAAGATGTCTTCTAGTGGCTCGTTGAAGATGTCTTTAGGAGGTCTGGTTGAGTCCGGTGAAGGAGAATCCATCTCTGAGATTGACTAGGAACAGCACAGAAATGATTATAGAGCTAATGTTGTAAAATTACTATAAATATATTTATTATGAGCTGAAACAAGATTAGATTGTGTTCAACAGCCTGTGCAATACTTTTCCATCTGGCATGGAATTTAATTAAATACATTAAACATTTTTAGGCTGAATCTCACATAATATGCCAGCTTAAAGTTCACCAATAAATAGATAAAGGAATCTATTTTTATTTTTTATTATTTTATTTTGCATTGAAAAGTAAGCATATGTTCCACCCAAATTCTTATTATTGTAACAGTAATTATATATTTATCATGTTAGTATTTGTTATTTATATGCATTTCTGAATTTGTACAACTGGCTGAATTAATAAATAAAGAAACCTACTTTAGCACTATGCTTGCATTAAAAATTAAGAACATTTTCCACACCGATTTTTATTACTGTAACAGTAATTATACATTAGTTAATTTGTAAAATATTTAACATTTTACTGTTTGTTATTTTATGTATTTGCGCATTTGTACAATTGGTGGTTTAAAATATATCAATATAACTGATTTCCAAAAGGATGATTTTCATTACTGAACAAACATCACATTATATTTATAATGTGATGTTTGTTCAGTAATGAAAATCACCAATGAGATAGCAAGAAGTCATTTTGCAGTCGCTTTCATCTAAAAATCCTTAAAGGGGCAATGCGCCTGGATTAAGCCAGGGTTTAGTGCCTTGCTTAAAAGGCACAATATGTAATTTTCGCCGCTAGAGGGCGCATATTCAAAATAAACAAAGAAGCAAAGGCGTAGTTTGATGACACCGTGACTGAGTGTGGAATCATGGGAGTTGTGGTCTTCATCCGCACAGCCGATGCAATCCTACGGGACTCTGCAGAAATCATGTTCATGGATGAGCTAATGATTTATTAACGTAGTAAAATTGAAGCAGGGTGAGGCTGAAAGCCGTCGAAGCGAAACGAAGCCGCTGAGCGAGCGTGACACACGACTCGAAAGCAGCGGAGCTTTTATTATGCCACACTCGACCGCTTCCGCTCCTTCCGGTCGTGCGTATGTGGGGTAAAGCAGCGCTGTTTTATCATACTAGATACAAGTTCTGTTATAATGCTACTCTGTGCGGTCGTCACCAGTCTATTAAAACGCACAACATATTAAAGCGGCTTTGGTGTTTCCATGTTTTCTACAAAACAAATCCGGAAATCGAGGGGTTATGACGTCATTGGCAGGCGACCGCTTCCGCTCCTTCCGGTCGTGCGTATGTGGGGTAAAGCAGCGCTGTTTTATCATACTAGATACAAGTTCTGTTATAATGCTACTCTGTGCGGTCGTCACCAGTCTATTAAAACGCACAACATATTAAAGTGTCTTTGGTGTTTCCATGTTTTCTACAAAACAAATCCGGAAATCGAGGGGTTATGACGTCATTGGCAGGCGACACAATGGCACAATGCACACGGTCCGTGTCACTAGTTAAAATGGCTTATTTCTCTGGATTTAAACATTCTTCGAAACATTTGAGATAATGCAAGTACACAAGTCAGCAAAATATATAACACTGTTCTAGTGGTTTTGGGTTATTTTAATAAAAGAAAAAGTACATATTGTGCCTTTAACGGTACAGCTCATGAATCAACCCACGCTGGGTTCAAACCTTCAAAGACCTTCCAGTTACCAGCCCAGATCTTTAACCACCAATCCACCCTATCATGACTCACGCACAGCAACTGTAAAGTCCTTCCCACACAGCAAAATCTTCCCAAAATAAAAGCTTGCTAAGGGAAAAAAGGCATTGAGGCCTTCACTCACATCTGAGACTCACATGATCACACTGTCAGTACTTTGACCTGAAAAGACTGGAATTATTACACTAAGTAAATATTGACTGCTGGACACCAGCTCATTCATTAGAGACAGAGCTGGCTACCCAGTACTCATATTCGAGTTATTTTAGTTTTGCTCTGCATGCATGCATATTTTACATGTATAAAAAATATCTTAACTAACTTAGTCTGTTGGGTGGTTTTGCATAAACAAGTTCAAGTACTGTCACACTTCCTTTATTAGACATAACATGTTTATTTTACACACATACACACTCTCTCACTCTCTCTCTCTCTCTCTCTCTCTCTCTCTCTCTCTCTCTAACAGTGTGACTTCAGTCAGTTTGGAAAACTGGGTCACATTCCTTCTGATATTATTTACTCAACTACAAGAGTCCTTCAAGAACTAAAGTATGTCACATGCAGGCCTAAACTCAGATCTATTTAACCCTGCGGAAGGACCAAATCTGAGGAGATGATGAAAAAACGTATCTTTATTAAATTACGCATTACGCAAATATGATAACAGAAAACTCCGTATAAACCAGCAGAGCTGAAGATCTATGGCTGAAGAAGAACAGGCAGGTCTGAGGGTGTCAGAGAAGTGAAAGTGATCGGTCTTCTTCTCTGTCTGTCTGTCTGTCTGTCTGTCTGTATGAGGTATACAGCTTTATAAACGCGTTTAATTCCGTTACTCACCGTTCCCGTGAACGCATCCGCCCCCTCGTCGCTGTCCTCCAGCAGCTCGGGCTCCTCTGAGTCCGGGAAAGGCGGAGGACTGCGCTCCGAGCTGGCCGCCATCTTCAGCTCCACACACACACACACAGGAAAAAACTTTATTTTACAAGCGGAGAGCGCGAGAGAGAAAAATGACAGAGCGACATTGAACTGAAACGGAGAGAGAGAGAGAGAGAGCGAACGTGAGAAACAGCGACGCCTGGTGGTCAAGAGGGGCGGGGTTTAATCTGTTACGTCACGCCCACAAGACCACTCCCAAAGTATTGCAAAAGAATATTTTATTTATACACTGATAATTGTTTTTAATAAAACACGCTTGAGTTCAAGCGTTATGGAGATCTATATTTTAAACACGGAGAAAATTAGAGGAAGTGCGCGTGAGAGGGACGGGCCTTGGTGTGACGCTGACACAAACCACGCCCACCGAAGCGTCTGTTTACGGAAGTACAGGAGGGAATTGAATCATGTAGTTTATACTCATTCAAATAGTTTCATTTGAAATATTGTTATGCCTCGACGGACGCATGAAGACACAGAACCCCTGCTTTCGTCCACTCATATCGACGAAGACGGTAAAGGCATTATTAGTCATCATGTAACGTTAAAACGATTTACTCGATCTCTTTCGGTTTGAAATGTTTATAATATTTAAGTTATTGATATTCTGATAGAGTGTTGTAGATGGGTACATTGCTAATATATAAATTTTTTTCACCAGATACATAGACTATTAAATCTGATTGAATATTACATTGTACTCAGAACATGTTATGCACGAAATATGTACACAAAAAATACTGTAGTAATACGTTACCGTGGTACATCTATGCATCTATGGTGGTAATATCATGGTACTTTGCTATAGATCCAAAAATAACATATATATATATATATATATGTATGTAGTGGTGGCCAAAATTATTAGAACACTTCACCAGCTAAAAAATAATGTTTATAATCATTTTAATGCTATATAATGTTTCCATTAGATGACCAGGCGTCCAGCAGAAAGAAACTTTCATATGAGGAGGCTGTTGAGAAAGCAGGTTAAATCATATTTATTTTACCTAAATAATTTGTCCAGCATTTAGTTTCATATGTGTGTCCAGATGCATTGGTCAGCGATCCTCATGTTTCTGTCTGTCTGCAGGGTTTGGGCTCTTCCACTGGCTGCTGTTGGCCGTCTGCGGCTGGGCGAACGCCAGCGATGCTGTGGAGATCCTGTGTGTGTCGTTCCTCCTGCCCACGGCACGCTGTGACCTCCTGCTGACCTCGGCCGACATGGGGCTCCTCACTGCCAGCATATTCCTTGGTTATTATCTGTGCTGCTTTCTGTTTTATTTGATTTTCTACCCAAATATCTGATCATGTTGCATTTTAAAAACAGAAAATTAGGCATTTGGGATTCATTCATATTGAGAAAACGGTTACGGCAAGATTTTGCAATCTTAAACTGCATGTCAAACAAGGACCATCATACATTCACTTCTCATCAAATCAGGTCAAAAATGCAGTTTGTTCCCTATTTGGTTGCCTTATCACGTGTCTGAAAACTGCAGAGTCATGCTTTTTACAAGAAATACATAACCGACCCAGTGATTAAAACTGCTGACATAACCATGTGATTTGACTATCCTTCTGCTCAGTAAGATATACGGTGTCAAACGGCTGTTTCCTTGGACAGGGATGATGGTGGGTGGTTATGTTTGGGGGTATCTGGCTGATCGCAGAGGAAGGCGGAGCGTTCTGGTCGTCTCTCTGGCAGTGAATGGCACATTTGGGGCGGTGGCCAGTTTGGCCCCGAGTTTCTGGCTCTTTTTGCTCCTGCGGTTCTTCAGTGGAGTCGGGTAACCACATGCCAAAAGAGTTTTTACATACACAGAGACATTCTGGAGGTTTCGATAGAAATTATACAGACAGAATCGCGACTCATTTGACTTAGAATCACATGAATGCATCTGTGTCTCACTCTCAGGGTCGGCGGCTCCATTCCGGTCATCTTCTCCTATTTTTCTGAGTTTCAGCCACGTTTGAGGAGGGGGACTATGATCAGCGCTCTAGCCACCTTCTGGATGGCTGGAAATATTTTGGCAGCAGGTAAAACCATCATCCTCTGAGCTGAGAGAGGAGTGTCTCTAAAATACTGCCTAGAAGGTTGTACTAATAATTTTTCCCTGTTTTAATATTGAAACATGAGCAGGAAATAACACAATCAAAACATCTAGAGATTTGCTCATATATAAACAATAATTAGATTAAAGACAACAATACATAGCCAATAATGTATATACAGTATGAATAAAAAAAATGCATAAGACAAAAGTAAATAACCAAATAGGCATACATTAATAAATAAAAATAAAAAAGATGTCTAAATAAAAATGCTTAAAGACAAGAATAATGTATGTATGAATAAAAAATATAAAAGATATATAAACATAAAAAAAATTAAATGCATAAGACAAAAGTAAATAACCAAATATGCATACATTAATAAATAAAGATGTATAAAATAAAAATGCACAAGACAAAATAATAACCATAAATGTACAACTGATAAAAATATAAACAATATATAAAATAACCATTAAATAAAATTAAGTGCTTAAGCAAAATTTGTATTAATACATTAAGAGAATACATTAAAAACAAAAAGATATATAAAAATGTATAAATTATATGCCACTATTTAGAAAAAGGCTCTAAATAATAAGCTAATAAATAGGCTGTACTCATTCATTGTCATCTGCACAAAACATTCACACATAAATCTTTTGTGTTTTGTCCAGGTGTGGCGTGGTTGGTGATTCCCAGAACATATTTGATTGCTCATTGGGGTTGGTTGGATTTTCAGAGTTGGCGTCTTTTTGTGGTCCTCTGCTCCGTCCCCAGTCTGTCATCAGCACTTATTTTCAGACTGTTCATGCCCGAGAGCCCCAAGTTCCTCATGGAGGTACGTAACGACTGATACTTTACCTTTTACTTTAGACTGCTATAAAAGTTAATTGAATAGGTTGTGAATTCTACAACTTCATATGAATGAGTTCTGTTACAGGCCGCATGTTTGCTAGAGTTGGTGGCACTATGTGTTTCTCTTCCACAGGCAGGACGTGAGACAGAGGCTTTGTCGGTGTTCCAGAAGATGTTCAAACTGAACAACAGATGCGCCACAAAACCATTTCCTGTATGTACCACCTCATTGATGTTTGCATTCAATTCTAGGCCAACCTGTCCACTTATTCATAAAGGAAACTATTATTATGGTCTGTCAGTTGATAAAACAGAGTTTCTCTCAACAGGGAGCAAGTCTTATGATAAGATCCAAAGATGATGAAGTAAAAAACAGAGCCACTAGCGGCTCAAGATGTCAGCGGCTCAGCCACCAACTCAAACAGGTTCACAGCACTCTTGACACATTATTGAGATTTTGTTTATCTGCTTTCTATTAATGCTAACGTGAAGCGTTACTGAGCTCTTCGTGGCCTTGCTGGTTCTTCTACAGGCTCTGGATCCCATGAAACAGCTGTTTGTTGGACCGCTGGCTTCCAGAAGTGTCGTTCTGCTGATTCTATTTTTCTGCATTTCATTTGGGTACTTAAATTATACAACTGATAAAGGCAAAATATTCTGTCAATTTAAGGTGTATTATTTTCTCTAAAGTCCACTAATAATCTTAGTCAAGGTTTTTACACCCAAGTCAGTTGTAATTTAATTTTCCACATTTTTTGCTACATTTTAATATGTAAATGAGCTCTGCTCTGATTGGCTAAACACCACACAAGCTTTTTTTGCTACTGTACCTTTAAGATTAGAATCTGTTATAACTAGTTAAGGTCATTTAAAATGCTGCAGATTATGAGTAAGTATGATTCAATGTTGTAATCCTCTCTGTGCAGGTATTATGGGTTATGGATGTGGTTTCCGGAGCTTTTTAAGAGAGCTGAGGATGGAGGGTCTCCATGTGCCAACATGTCTCGAGTCCAAAGCTCAGAAAATGAAAGCTGCTATCCAGTCCAAACTGCAGGTTAATGTTACAAAACCAGACCAAATGAGACTAATCATTATTTTTCTCATTACAAAAAATATGAAATGTTAGTTATACTATTAGGAAGTGTATTTTAGTTTGTTGTCATGATATTCAAGCAGTATTTATAATGGCTTTGTGTCGTTTGCATGTGTGTTTTCTAGTGTACATGGAGGGTTTCGTAACAGCGGCTTCAAACTTGCCGGGAAACATCTTCACGATCCTTCTCATGGACAGAATTGGCGGGAAAATCCTGCTTTGTTAGTAGTTTCCAATGTTTTAATTGCAGCTCAAAATACTTTATTACTACATTCAAATATTAAAAGCAACGAAATAATAAAGCGCTATAATGATGCAGATGTTTTTTCTCTGTCCGGTAGCCGTCAGTTTGCTGGTGTCCAGCCTGAGTGTGTTTGTCATCTACATGGTGAAGACTAAAACTCAGAGTCTGATCGTGTCCTGCGTGTTCAGCGGAGTTTCTGTCGTTTCCTGGAACGCTCTGGACGTGGTGGGAACTGAACTTTATCCCACACAACTACGGTAAACCCTTACATTCATTGGTAATGTTATATTGCTACTGATTTCACATGTAAAGAGGTCAGCCAATCATAACAGAGTGGTTTAGAATATTTAAGAATATGTAATGTTTCACATAGAAGTCTCTTCTGCTTGATCAAAAATACAGTAAAAACAATGGTACTGTTAAACATTATTACAATTTAAAATAACCATTTTCTATGGCTATATACAGCACAAAGGTCATCCGGAGTTGCTAACGTGTGTCCGATCTGATGGATGATTGACGGCGGGGGGGTTGCTAAGCTTGTCGCTTCCTGGAGCATTTCACAAGCCAAGATGCTCATCAACCATTTAATAGAGTGTTAAAAAGGTTAAATAAAAGGCCTTACAGGCAAAGAGGCTTGAGGCAGGCAAACTTAAAAATCAGGTTAATATGCTATGACCTAAACCAGCAGTAGAAAAGCAGGTAAAACCACCTTAAAAATTAAAGAAATGAACCAAAATAATGGTCTTTAAACACCGGTAACAAAAGAGAACCCCAAGGCACCGACTGGCATTTGCCTGCATCAGAGGGTCACAACCTGCGAGATAAACTAATAATCTGTGCATGCGAAATCTCAAACACAACTCTTGAAATCAGATCTCCATGACGATGGCTGTCTGGTTAACTGTGCAAACGGGTCACTGCCAATGAACCCTTTAGTGTGCATAGAGCCTTAATGAACAAGAACGAGAGCAGTGCAATACAACGCAGTGACTTCTTTCCTCAAAACAGTGAACTCAGTCCGGACTCTTCCCCACGCTGGCTGGGGGGGGGGGTTATTTGTGGTTCAGGCCCTTCTGGTTGCGCATGAGAGGCTGATGGCTGCTCAACACGTCCAGAGAGTGCCGCCAATGCCAGCATGACCGACAGTAATATTTAAAACATGCCTGGAGAGTTGAAAAATATACATTTCAGAGCAATATGACAAGAGTTTGGTTTGTATGGAAGATAAATAATGACAAATGTCTTTGAAACAAAAAAGCATGTTGAACTGAAAAAATAATGCATTTTATTAACAGTGTTTGCATTTTAATTAGTGCTGTCAAATGATTAAATCGCGATTAATCGCATCCAAAATAAAAGTTTTTGTTTACATAATATATTTATTTGTACTGTGTATATTTATTAAGTATATACAAATACACCCACATACAGTATATATTTTTAAAATATTTACATGTATATACATTTATATTCTTTATATTATATATAAATATATTTTATATAAACATAAAATTTTTCTTAATATATACATGCATGTGTTTGTATTTACGGTATACTGTATGTACATAATAAATATACACAGTATACACACATATTATGTAAATAAAAACTTTTATTTTGGATGTGATTATTCGCGATTAATCGTTTGACAGCACTAATTTTAATGCCTTGTATTTTTTAAGGGCTTTATTCATATTCACCTTCCAGAATTCACTTCCAAAATATTCAATCTGTTTAAAAATACGATGTATAATATTCGACAGGCAATTTTCGATCCATTTTATTTCACTTTACAAATTTGCTTCCACAAATTCAGTGGTTAAAATTCTGGAAGGTGAATATGAATTATTGCATTTTTAATTATGAAAATGTGTGTGAATTGTTTTGAAATGAAATATTCACAACTTAAATAAACAACTATGTTAAATTTCAGCCCCTAAAAATGCAAGCCCTGAAGGCATTAAAATGCAAACACTGTTAATACAATGCATTATTTTTTTTCAGTTAGTGCAATTCAACATGCTTTTTTGTTTCTAAGACATTTGTCATAATTTTTTCTCCATAGGTTTGGTTGGTTGGTGCGGTGTACTGTATGGAACTGATTTATTTATCTATACGTTAGCAATAAATTGCTATGAATCGCGTATAGTTGGTGTATCATTTGTATGAATAATCTGTTCACAATCACTTTCAACAGTACTGGAAAAGGCTGTTTTGACACGATACTTAAAACATAACTTTAAACTAATTTAACAAATTTGTGTTGATAAATAATCAATATATGTATATATCTTTTAGGTTCAAGCTTGCTTTTCAAAACCCAGCGAATCGATAATCAAATCAATTGGCAGTCAACCCAAAGATTCATAGCCCTACATGTTAGAAATATTTCCCACAATTAAAAAAAACAATAAATAAAAGATTGAACATGAACAACGCTTAAAATTATTGCTCACCATCACATTAATGATGCAAATGTATTAGAGATGCACCGATTGCAATTTTCTTGGCTGATTCCGATTTCCGATTTTTTTGTTAGTGTGATCTGCCGATATACCGATTTTTGCCGATTCCGATTTTCTTTCTAAGAACTATAATTGACAGCATATACAAACAAAAATCTTTCTTCAACGCAAAGTTTTATTTTCATACAAAAACACAAGTAAAATATCAGTAATAAAATAAGAACAAATAAAAAAAATGGCAAGCAACAGCACAAATAAATGCAATAGAATAAAGAGAGCTATGAAACTAAGTTTTTCAGGTTAAGTAAGTTTTTATTCAGTTAAGATATACTACAGAAATTAAAGTAATCAAATGTAAAATAACACATCCAGTGTTATTTTACATTTGATTACTTTAATTTCTGCAGTCTTCATTGTAAAAATTAAACACAGATTAATGCTTACCATTAAAGTTATAAAACGTATTCAGTCAAGAGCAGAAAATTATTTTCTTTGTCTTTTGTTCTTTGATTATCATGACAGACAG